ACGAAATTCTTCAGCAGTACAAAGATTGCCAACATTTTCATCCCAAGGCTTACTTTTATGCTCGATGGTCAGCTACGTTAACCTCTTTCCCATTCGTACAATTCAGGATCTGTTACGTACCTCTGCACCTTGACACTTAAAGTAACCTTAGTAAACTCCAAATTACAGTGCATCCAGCACTTATGTCATCTAGATTATTGTCTTTGAAATCCACCTCGGAAACATCTGTCTTCTTAGTTTATCTGCTGTCACCCATCAAACAACATTTCCACCTCGTCTGATGGTTTTTTCTAATTCAATCGTGTCGTCAGTAAAACTGTTCCCTCAAGATAGTTTTGTGTTTCCTTCTTTATTACGCCAAAATGCTAGCGGTGGGAATCCTCTCTCCGACTCATCAAATTCCTCGACTTTGAAAGTGTGCTTCTTTGCCATAATTGGCTCAACGATTTACAGATGTAAGTAGAGTGTTAGAGCGTGCTTTTGAATGGTTTGTTTTAAAGGTGTTTTGCTACATGTCAGCAAACCTCTGACTGTGCATTATTATAATTATGCAATGGTAGATGTATGTGGTAATGGCTGGTTAACTAGTTACTCTTTACACAACACGAGGGGTGTAAAGTACCTCATTCTCTTTGCTTGTGAGTGTGTTTAACCAAGGGGCGTTGGGGTAGGCTTATATAACACCTGGGAATGTTCTGACAGCTGTTACTTGGGTGTTTGGCATGTAAATAAGCAGTTAAACGTTTATAAAGAGCCAATAAGAGTTACGCATTGCGTGCATGCATTTTGCATAGAATCACTATGGAGGGTTTGCCTGTTTTCATTCTGGCAGGATCTGTTCACGACAATGAAGGTGGTAGATGTGGTTGAGTTGGGACTGGGAGCTAATGCTGCTCTCTGTGACATACACCGTCTTCACTGGAACACTGACGCACATGGTGAGACACACTTGACTTGATGTGTAGGCCATCAGCTCTGCATGAGTATGTAGTATATATACAGTAGTGAGTGGTTCACTTTTTCGAATCAAAAATGGCTTTATGGAATTTAAAGTGCCAGTTGTATGTTGCATACATATAAAAAAAAAAACAGCATTCAGACAACTAGGCAGGCTGACTTTGCTTGCCAAATTAGTTAACATTGGAATTTTGTTGTGATATTGAAATCGCACTAGGAGCTAAAGGAAGGTACCAATCAGCAGAAGCTAAGATGAAGTCACCCTTCATTGTGGAACTGAAGCCAATGGAGATACATACTTTTAACATAACAGTTGAGTATACAATATAGTATTTATTCCCTTACCATGCCATTGATTATGCTAAAGTTTGAAGATTTATAATGATAACACTTTGGGAGGTTTGATCTAGTATGCAAAATATTTGCAACATTCTTGCAATTTGCCCGTAGCGCAATATCTCAATTTAGTCTTTGTGTATTACAATACACGTGATCCAGCCAAGTGCAAGATAATCAAACAGTTTGTTCACAATTTTGGTACGGAGGCCCATAAGGGCCATCCATTGCTTATGGAAATTTCATTTCCACACTGGAAACTTCCACTCTACAGTGGAGATATTTCCACTCTACAATATTCTACAGAACGTTCTAGACCTTCATTCTACAGACTACTTCAATTCTGCAAACACACCCCTTTGGTATTTTTACGTAAACAGGTTACGGTGCTAACCAAACTAAAGTATAACAGCCAGCCCAGCAGCTGAGAGTTACAACATGAGAGAATGAGACACATGTGACATAGTTTCCGTGGAAGATGGCATACTTAGTACTGTCCCAGCTCTCAGAAGACAGCTAGGACGAATGGTATACAGCCACAATGACCAAACGTATACAGTATCATGGACCAACTAGCTAGGTAATACCAGCGCTTGCGTTGAGCCGACATACTGAGCTTTACGTGCGTAGCTTCAACAACTTGTCTCAGTGCTCTTTGCGATAGCCTAGTGTGACGAGAATGAGGTTGCATTTGTGTGAGTAGTTAGACCTTTTATTCTACTTAAAAAACATACCCTTTCAGTGGCCTCATATAGGGTTTGGCCAGGTTGCATCGTTTACACACCACACACCACTTGGTTACACCATACATGAGTCCATGTGTATCTCCCAGACACCTCAATTAGCTAACCAGTGGCTTCACCAAAATTGGACTTGCATACAAGTCAGAAAAGGCATCCAAAACTACACTACACTACTTTGTAGTTACACAAAAACTGCGTGTGTAGCTCCCACACACCTGTGTACCAGTATACAAGTATCAAAATGCAGGGGGATATAGGGATGGCTTGAAGCAGGAAGAAACAATGGGTCATTGCACAGCCAAGATACACAAGGCTACATGACACCATCCCTCTATCTTTGTTCGCAAAGATATCAAAGTTATGGATTGTGTCATGTAGCCTTGTGTATGTATGTAATGACCACTTGTTTCTTCCTGCTTTGAGCCATCCCTATATCCACCTTCATTTAGCCTTTTGTATGTATCTTTGCTGTAATGACCCCTTGTTTCTTCCTGCTTTGAGCCATCCCTATATCCACCTTCATTTAGCCTTTTGTATGTATCTTTGCTGTAATGACCCCTTGTTTCTTCCTGCTTTGAGCCATCCCTATATCCACCTTCATTTGAAGAAATGATTTTTCAACTTGTTTACTATGTGAACCCAAACAAACAGCACAAATGACTTTTGCTTGCCAATAACTTATGAATGCTCATACTGGAACATTATTTACTGCACATAGATCTCCAAGACCTCAAAGTTAATGTCTTCACCACTACGAATAGAGTCAGTACACAGCCTCATCTCGATGTCATCACTGGTTGGAGGAGAGATCTCTTTCCTGAACCATGGTGGAGAGTTCCAGGAACAGCATGCGTTGAATGGACCACATCCCGCACCATCCCAGAGAGGATCGTCTCCATAGAAGATGTACTGGACTCTATTCTCACTGCCAGTGTCACAGAAGTAGTCATTTCCGATAAAGCCAGGTACTGAAGGAGGTGGAGTGTTGCGAGTGTTAGTGCAAGGGCATACATTATCTGTATGAGAATTATTGTACTCATGAAGAGCAGCAGCGAATGTCCAAATGTGTTTACGAGGACTTTTTCCATGAGTTAAACTGATTCCATCGACATAATTGGAATCAATATTTTCAGAAATGGTTGGTCTGAATGCATCTGGAGTCCCCTGCTGGTATCCAATGATCTTGCCACACACTTGAGAGTACTCTATTCCCTTTACTGACAGGGCAACCGAAGAGCATCCACCACCATCAAATGTTCCTAGCACACAGTCTGCGAGGACTGGTGAGGGTCTTCAGACCAGATGGACAGGTACTGTTAGTGTCGTTCATGTTGATAGAGGCCACCCTCATCCAGCCTCCAGCTACACCGTTGCAGCTCCTCTCCATGTCACAGTACATTTGACAGGGTTTGTTGTCAGTTCCACTGATCCAGTAGAGAGCCGAGGGAGACTGTGGGGCCAGCTGGAGGATCTCCTTGCAGGAGGAGGCAGGGTGACTGGGAGTGTAGCCAGGAATGAAGAATTGGGAGATCTTTGTCAGCAGAAAGTCTCCAGCTTGGTTCAGCTCACTCCTGATCTCCTCCCTGAGCCGACTAGCAGTAGTCAGTACTACTAGGTCATTCTCCTCATAGACACAGACTGCTGTGCTGTAGACAAGCAGTACCACAGACACCAAGGCAATGGGAGCCATGTTGATAAAGTCACCTTATGCAGAAGTTAATTTCTGCCCGTACTTTTATAGATACAAAGAGACTTTACCACCATTGCAGTTCATTACAATCATCATAATGTGCTGCAATATCTGAGAATGATCACAAGTCACCTGCTGTTGGATACTATGTTCTCAGGACCTCTCCCTTAAAAAAAATCTTTTGGTAGATGGCACACAAAGTCAAAAGCTTACCTACTCATGACTTTCAACTCTGAAGTTACAGATAGCAAGATAATAGGCATGGGATACTACTTAGTGCACTTTGAGCCTCTCTTTTTGTATATATCCCACTACAAAAGTGTGACTCCTCCAGCACTGCAACTTCAAAGAGAAGTGAATCGATTGTTTTGTGCAAACCATGCTTTCACTATCATGACTTTCACTAATGACTACACAGAGTACTCTATTCCCTGTGAAACCACATGCAGTTGAGGACAACGCCTTTGGTCCTATATTATACCGCACAGTCTGCGAGGACTGGTGAGGGTCCTCAGACCAGATGGACAGGTACTGCTAGTGTCAGTCATGTTGATAGAGGCCACCCTCATCCAGCCTCCAGCTACACCTTTGCAGCTTCTCTCCATCCATGTATGTCACAGTACATTTGTCTGGGTTTCCATCCAGGAGTAGGGAAAGATAGGGAGAAAGGGAGTGAAAGGGTTGATTTCACTACTTCAGCCAGCTAAATTATCACCTTCGCCTTGCTCTGGGGTATACAGCCTCAGCAAGAGAGGTATGCAATACAGGAACAGGAGTGAGACAAAAATACAAGGATAATGAGTTTTTGTGCTCCTAGTGTCTGTCAGAGTATGTACTGACAGCATGCCGAAATTGATTATCCCCTTTCACTTCTATTCAGAATAAATAATAATCAACTGCAAATGAACGGAAGGAAACAATCAGTGGGTGGTTGTAACGTCACTGAGTCGCACAGTATTTGCATACTGGAACTCTGAGCTCTTCTCGTAGTCCAGCATGTCAAGAGCCACCTCGCAGCTCTCCCTCACCACCCTCTCCCCGTCTCCACGAAACTCCCTCAGAATCTCCAGACACTCCTGCGTGGCTATGGAGCCCAGGGCCTCCGCACACTCGTGTCTCACCATGGCCTCCTCAGAGGGGTCCCGCAGAGAGCGACTGAGGGCCGAGACCACTCCCGGCTCCTTCATCTGTCCCAGAACGTAGGCAATCTCGTGCTTGAACAGAGCGCTCGAGTCACCGAGCCCCGTCGCGAGGGCCAGCGCGGCGTCGGGCCCGCCGTGGTTCCTCAGGGAAAACAGCGCTCTGTAGCGGGAGAACAGAGAGTGTGAAGTGTCGTTTAGCATCTCCTGCCATTGACGGACGTCCCCGGTTGTCAGCGGAGGAGCCGGATCCACGGAGGAGTACGGGTTGGTATCTACGAAACTCTCCCGCTCCGGACATCTCAGCCATCGGAGTCGCTCCAGCGCTATCTGGCACGTCTCGGCCACCTCTTGGGCTGCGTCCTTCGAGTGCTCCTCCAGTATCCGCCCGCAGCTCGGGTCCCCGATAGCTCCCAGTGCTTCTCCGGCCTCGTGCCTCACCATCGGGTCCTGGTCCTTGTCTCCGAGGACTCGAGTCAGAACTCCGAGTGCCGCAGGGTCCCCGATCTGGCCCAGGCAGTAGGCACACTCGTGCTTCAGGAGCGCCGAGGGGTCGGAGAAGCCTCGCGCGATCTGAGCGATGGCCTCGCGGGTGGCTATTCCTCTGAGGGTGAAAAGGGCACGGAACCGTTCGTCCAACGCCTTGCTCCAGTCGTTCAGGACCGCTCCAACCGCCTCTACAGTGTCACAACTGAACTGACGGCTCATTTTTAAAATTACTCTCTGCAGCCGCGTGTGTCAGGTCAAAGTACGTATCTAATTAAGCGGTAGTGGTGTGTGTCAAATAGAAAACAGGCTGTCTCCGTACGACGAAAGCGTAGGACTGTCCCACTGTGGCAAAGCTACATAAGAGGTAAGTGGAACCGCTGTAGAAATTAGTTAGGTTTATCCTGTGTTCAGACATAATCTCATTCTCGCGACAACGCTCTACGTAGGAGAGAAGGCAGATTTGAAAGTGGGCGTGACGACCGGAGATGTCACGACGATCTCCCATCATTCAGTAAGTTGAGGGCCCTCAGTGACTCGCTAGGGATAGCTGGTGGATACCTCTAATTGTACCACTACACTCCAAGCATATATATAAGTACAAAAGGGAGCCTACAGTATGAGTCAAACAAATGCCAACTGTTTTTGGGTAGAGGAGGGTAGGGTACGGTAGAGGTAGCATAGGGTAGGGTAGGGAAGGGTAGCTGTTAGGTGTAGAATACAGACCGGGGAAGAAGGGTAGAGGTGTTGACGTTTTTTGACTCGTACTGAATGATTACAGTGATTGAATGTTCCTTGCTGACCGAAAAGCAACTGGACTCCTTTTTAAAGCTTTTTCTTGTTGAGGGTCGCGGTGCAACGTTTTTAACCTTCTTTCTTTGTTGCAGGGATGAATCCAACACAGATCCAGAGGTTAGCTTTGTTGCCCAGTGTGTTCGTATGTAAGGGCCTCAGTTGTTTTCTGTGTATGCACAAGAGATAGAGAGAGAGAGAGAAATGTCTGAGATTTTGACCTCAGTCTTTTATAAAGACACGTGGTTTTGGGTGTTCTGCGAGAGCTGTGGTCCAGAGACGACCAGTATCTGGCATTAGGAGACTCGTGTCCATGAAGCAACAGTACACATTATGACATGCATCCATTGAACGTGGTGGTGTGACTGTGTTACTAATTGGACATGTAATGTCTTGTGATGATGCCGTGACACTTTGTTTCCCTGTATTAATGAATGTCCAACACGTGTCTTTTACCTCTGTCTTTTGTTCAACACTCTAGTCTCGTGGCTCAGAGAATGTATTGAGGAGAGTAGCAAGTACTGATCTCTGAGATTGAATTGGTTTGGGAGAGAGGGGATGGTTTTCAGTTGTAGCTAAAGTGAAACCTGATAAATGACCCTCTGAGTAAAGGACACCCCTCTTTAAAACTCACTTGGCTCAGCCGTATAAACTATATGCAACTTACGTGCCTTGGGACCCTTAGTAGTGTCTTTGCTGTGTTCGAATGCCGACAGCTCAGGGCCCCGCGGCAATCTATTGCACGTACATAGTTTTCTGGACTCAGCATCTAACATATTTATAGTATTACCTCCAAATAAGGGACATCTTCGAGTAAAGGACAATATGTCTCATTTTCACTGTATGTTATAGACAGGTTGTCCAAAAGGCTCGAAGCCAACTCCATTTTGCTTACGGCTACATTTTAATTTAATGTCCCCCTGTGCTCGTCTCATTGTGCATGTCCTCTTCCTCTCTCTGTCTCTCTCTCTCTCTCTCTCTCTCTCTCTCTGTAGCTGGAGCCACTCGCTCCCTCAGACCCCGCCTGTCCTGACAGACCAGCCCCCTTCAAGTTTATCACTGTAAATGTCTACTGCAGTGAAGTGTGAGCTGACACTACACACACACACACACACACACACACACACTCTCTCTCTCTCTCTCTCTCTTAGTATTATGAATGTAGTGCAGTGTTGAAGGCAACAAAAGAGTAATGTTTTCTGTTCTCTATAGGGTGACATCACGGGAGCGAAAGAAGGGGAAGCGAATGGTGTGTGACTGTCAATTTGATCCAGGTATGTACATATCTGTACTGCACTGATCTCTGTGTGTGTTGGAGGTGTGGGAGATGGTACTGTGATGTATTCCCAAATATTATTATGTAGTGCGCATGCTCACTCAATTATTCTGTATGTAATCCCCCGTTATTCACGTGGTCCTTCGTATACTGTATACCCCACCTCGATATATGTATCGTGCATATTCACTGTAAGTCAGTTATAATGATCATGATATAAACTGTGATTACGAGGATACTACAGGTACAATATAGTATTTTCTACTGTACATGACCAACACTAGAACAAGATGATCCCGAGGTTGCCTGTGGAGAGATCTGTCTCAACAGACTCCTCATGATAGAGTGGTGAGTCCTGCACGGTCTGTGTGGTTGACTAATACAGTACGTACAGTGAGTATGCCACACTTTACATTCTCTGCTGTTTTAGCACCTCTCCTCTCTCCCTCGCCCCCATTCCCTCCACTATCCACTCTGTTTCTCACGACTTTCCTTCAATTTGTTCTTATATATAAACTGTTTCACTTACACCTAAAGTGAACTTCTCTTTCCGTGCCTCTCTCCTTTTTTCCTTTGCACCCTCCCCCTCTCCTCCCTCCTCAACCCCCCGTTCTCCCCCTTCCCACCCCGTGTCCTTCCTGCTGCCCTTATTTGCTCCCCCTCCCCCCTCCTCCCCCTCTCCTCCCCCCTCCTCCCTCCTCTCCCCTCTCCTCCCTCCCTATTCAGTGGGTCTCGGTGTCCCTGTGGGGAGTACTGTAACAACAAGAGGTTCCAGAGAGGAGTCTATGCACAAGTGGAGGTCTTCAAGACTGATAAAAAGGGATGGGGACTCTGTGCACTAACTGACATACCACAGTGAGTCATCATCTTGCACCGCAGCTGTATGAGTCATCCGCTAATATTTTCATTCCTCTGTAACAATATCCCTTCACTGGTAATATGTATTAGTTACGTCATGTCCGTGAGGTATGTGTACGTTGCCGGAATAAATCACGAGTCCTGAGGGCGCGCAGAGCCCGAGGGCCGAGTGATTTATTCCGGAACCGAACTATGGACATGACGTGAGTAATTTATGTCATCATGACCCGCGTTGCTACGGATAATGGCGCAAAAATTCTCGTTTGTCTTAGTAGTGTAAACTGTCTCACAGGAAGTTGATATAACACTCATATTGAGCTTGTGTTCTTGAGTGTTGAGACCCATATTAAAGTTGCATTCCTTGGGTCTCTAGTCTTGCGGCGGCGTGCCCGTAGTCGGTGAGCAGTGGAGCCTCTTCTCACGTCTCTAGTCTCTGGTACTGTCAGGTGAAGTCGAACCAAAGATGGCTGACGTCCGGGATAGAGTAGGCTTAGTATGGAAACGGTACAAGTAAAATATAAATGGTCTCTTGCTCACGTTATCAGTGGAACAGTGGAAGTGGTGAAAGCGACATTTTTATCTCTGTTGCAGAGGGACTTTTGTGATGGAGTATTGTTGTTTTTGAAGTCCATATTATATTTAACTCCTTTGATGTATTGTTGTAAGGAAGTGGATTATGTGACAATCATTGTTTCCCAGAGGGACGTTTGTGATGGAGTACTGTGGGGAGGTGATATCACCGGTCGAGTTTGAGGAGAGGAAAAAGCAGTACACCATCGAGAAGAGAAGACACTACTATTTCATGTCTCTCCGCAGTGACGAGGTACAGTACCCATGCAGTGTCTTGTGCTGTAGATTTGAACCCATACCAGCTGAGTTCCTCTAGTACGTAGCTGCAGCTGGTAGAATGCTTACCTAGAGTGCTGAGTGACGTGGGTTTGAATCCCACCTAGGGTGGGTGTCGTTGGTTTGCCTTTTCCTTGAGACATTGTAGTTGACACATGTACACTTACATGGCATACATGTAGCTGTATTACTGGCAGGCAGAGTTGTCAGTGAAACTCATGATTTCACAGTCACTGTGTTGCTCTTATTGGTTTGCAACCACAGTAAGTCCTCTCATAATGTGGCGTACGTTGTCCACAGATCTTGGATGCCACTCAGAAGGGGAATAACTCGAGGTTCATTAACCACAGCTGTGACCCAAACTGCGAGACACAGAAGGTACATACATAATAATGCGTAATGAGGGCAGCTCACACCGACAGAGAAGACGGTTATGTGGAGTTAACTGTGATTGTGTTGCAAAACTCCCAAAGGCCGTTAAGTTTCTGTTCTCTGGTTATTTCGAGCATCTTAATATCTACATTGTATATCTACAATACCTGTACGCACATTGTTGATATGGAGTGACAAAACTGCATTGTGTGCATATGTCAGTATGCACCTGGTAACCCTGGCTCCTCTTTTGTTTCTGAGACTTCTCCTCGATCTCGCTGCGGTTTGTAAAACAGTATGAATCTCATTAAAAGTGCTTACACACCATTTAAAGGGAATGTGGTAGCATATAAGGGATAACAATATGACCCAGTGCAAGAATGCAATCAAGTTTTCAGTAAAAATAATACTGCCACATTCCCATTAACAGTCTTGTTCTAGAATTATTGCTTTGATACATACATACTGCCACATTCCCTTTAATAGTCCTGTTCTAGCTTTGCTTGTGTGTGTGGGGTGTACCTGTGTCTCCTTATTGTCGATGTGTGTGTAGTGGACAGTGCAGGGGAAACTGAGGATTGGATTCTTCACAGTGAGGGACATTCAGGAGGGAGAGGAGATCACCTTTGACTACCAATTCCAGAGATTTGGGTAATTGTTGAGGGCTGAGGGAGGGAGGAGAAGGAGAGGGAAGCGTTTGTGTTGGGTGGGGATATTTGCACTAGAGGAAGAGAGAGAGGTGCATCAAAAAAAGTGATTGTAATGGCTAAATTTAGGAAATGTAACTAAAAATGGAACCTACATAATTGCATTCTTGTACTGGCCCTATTTATCATTATGTACTGACACACCAAAGTGGGGTGTAATCTGTGTGTCTCTATAGTTATATAAACGGGACCAGCAGTCTGTAGATTATGGATAGGGAGGAGTAAGTGGGTGTGTGCGAATTTAGTTTATAGCCAAGAGGTCTTGCCAACTACTGTACCTCATTCCCTAGTCCCCACCCACTCCTCCTATACATGTGCATGGCAAGGACTTCTGTGATGCATACTACGTACATAGCTGCATAACCCAGATCTTTACCTCTTAGGATGTATGTGCATGCTGGCAGAATTACATCCCTGTTAAAGCTGGAAAAACTAAAAGGCTGAGCTTACATCCTTTGGGCCTAGAAAAAAAGCTCTACTGCCTTGCTGTGTGTGGTAAGCATAGCTCTGAAAATCGTTGCTTGTCACCCATAAAGTATAGAAGAGTTGCCAGCATTTAACACGTTAGCTCAGTGTGTACATACAGTATGTAGCTATAATATGTACGTACACCTGTACTCCTTTGAATGGTGAAATGTCCTTTAGTGTATCACTGGTACTGCTAGACATTCAAATCGGTAATTCTGGTGTCTAGGTTCGTTCTCTCTGTTCCACAGTGATGTGGCCCAGAAGTGCTACTGTGGCAGTGCTAATTGCAGGGGTTACCTCGGTCAGAGCAAGACGACCGGGCAGTTCAGGGGAGGAGGGGGAGGGAGGCTTCCGCGAGGAGATATCGGGAGTCCGAGGGAGGCGGGGGGAGGGGGGGGAGGGTGGAGGAGGAGACACACAGCCAGGGCTGACAATAGGGAAGACAGCATGGTGAGGACTATATTACTGGGGTTGCTCTATATAATGTGTGGTGCTACCAGCAAATACGTTATCTCTTTCTCCACTCTTCTCTTTCCAAACTTAGTGTGACAAATCTCAAATATATATATACTACTCATGATACTACTCATGTATACAAACTTACAGCTTGTCTTACATGTCATTGCATCCCATGTCATTGCATCCCAGACACTAAAAGGGTAGAATTTGTATACTGTAAAGTCGGCTTTTCTCATTCGCTCTTCCAAAAACCAATATTGTACTATAATAGTAAAATGATTTTCACAATAATTATGTCCATACATGCATACATACGAACATGAGTGTATAGGAGAATGAAGAATGAATATTAAATAATTATGTTTTCCTTAATGTGTCAAAAGATTGGGTGTTACACATGTAGTTGTGCTTCTCTTGTGTATAAATTTCTGCACACATTACACACACTGCCACAAATGTACACGCAGTTTGAGAAGCAGATATACGACATAGTTGGTTCGAGTTGGCGACTCAAGAACACGGATCAGGTCATTGCCATATCACGCATCATGCTGCAGGCAGAGCGGCTGGAGCAGAGAGTTATGTTACTCCACGTCCTACAGGTACGTGTATTACTGGATGTACATGCATGTAGTTGAGGGTACGAGCATAGTGTGCATGCATAATAAATGTACCGTACACATTATAGCACTGTGTGCTCCTTTTTGGCAGTGAATACACATGTAAGGAGTATGTACACATACACACTGTTCAGTAACAGAGATGAATCATAATACATGTATGTAGTTAGAAAATTTTTTGCTTTCCACTGAATTTTAGATCCAAACAGTATAGTCTGAATAATGCTCACAAAGGCATATTCTGGCCGCCCCTCAGTGGTGTTGTGTGCAATGCGCTTGTAGTACAATCTTAGCTACCCTAAACACCCGTGCCCTGGTTATGATGTAATGGTTCTATGATGTAATACAATGTTCCATGACGTAATACTATATGATGTAATGGTTCCAGGCCACAGAGGACCAGTCGTGTCTCCGTAAGTTCCTCTCCCTCCACGGTCTGCGGCTGCTGTGGAGTTGGATGGTGGATTCTCCTGAGCCAGACTCACTCAACATACTCCACTTCAGACAACAGGTAATTTGTTATACACTAGAACCCAGGGGTGTAACAGAACCCAGGGATGTACACTTTCATCTGTACGGTAAACGGAGTTGTGTATACATGTACTACATACTTCCAAGACAGAAGTGAAAAGTTCAGTTTACCTCAGGCCTGGATTTGTTGATCAACAGGGACAACCGCTTAGTGTTCCCAGAAGCCAGTAAACTAATACTCTGAGCTTTATCAGAGGACTGTACCAGCCCATTGTGTGTTCTGGGAGCCTGTAATCAGCCCAATTAGCCAGTGATGAGAGGGACATGTCCATACTCACCACAGGTCTCTCCGGGCGCTACTCCACCTCCCCATCACCACCAGGAACCAGGTCTCAGACTCCCACCTCCTCACCTCCGTCACCAGGTGGCTCAAACACTTCGAGAAACCGCAGCAACCACAGGAGCCACTCCCTGGAAACTCAGACCCTCCCCTCCCAGCCCTGGCTTCAGGGGTAGGACCCCAGTCTTTAGCAGCTGATGAGCTTCAGCCACTGAACCAGAGACTGAGAGACTACATGGAAGGTGAGCAACTATTAGAGCAGTTTTAGTTTTAGTTTCAGTTTTGTTTGTCTGTAGTGTTTGGCAGTACTGAGTAGTGTATAGGGAGACTCATTTATGAGCTAGAGAATAATATGAGTTTGTCAGGGAGCCCATTCTTACGCTGTGTTATATATGTACAGCATAAATATAACACGTCTGAGACTGTTTGTACATGTACTGTACATGCTGTATAACGCGAAGAGCTGTGAATGGCGTTGCTTGTGCGGCATGAAACGTTGGTGAGGTGTAGCAGCAATATTTGTTGATACATTTGTATGTTAGCAATTGGCTACATGATACAGGTATATGTAGCTGATTGCTAGGTGGCATGGAGGCCAATAATAAAGGACAGCAATAAGTTCCATGGGTGAATGTACAGATATCCGAACGCACTTCTAATCACTCCATAAATTTTTCACTCCACACATGTATCCGGCACGTTTGACTGCTTGCAAAATATTAAAACAAGCAAATTTCCGGTCATACAGGCACGTAAGTACTGAAGTTCGACAACACTGAGCCTTGTCAAACTGCACCTCAAAGGGGGGGACATGGTGTGTTGGGTGGTTGTGCGTAAGTTCGGGGTGGTTCGACCACATCGAACCACCTCGAAAATTGTCAACCTGGCATTGATAGCTTTCTTCATGCATAAAGAGATGAAGAGCAGGTAAATTTACAGTGCAATATACGTACCGTACAACTAAATACATTTTTGCGGATAGCTGCATGAAAAGGGACTTTCGTGAATGCGTATCCATCAAGTACGACAATAAAATAATATATTCTCGAAAACTACTTTTTGCGAGTTTATTAGTATTTGTTGGCAAGTTGGCGTTTCAATGCGGTTTATTTATATGTGATTGTCGTCAGGCACAGCACATACCGTAATGTTACGTGCTTCTAAATACGTGCAAAACAGGCACGAAAATTGAACTGCTTGTGCATACCGTAATGATTCGCGAGTGCAAACACACGTGAAAACGAACTGTTTGCGCTTGCTCACCAACAATGTGTTGCATTCTTCTGGTATAATGATAATATTCTGGTAATCTTAGTACTGTCGCTCTCCTCGCTCCTTCAGCTACGGTGGTGACAGAGGCCGACAGCCACATGGACAGTGAACCCAGTAGTAGTGTGGCCCAACAGGAAGAGGTGGGGTCATGTGACAGTGTAGGTGTGGTCATGCACCTATCATGTGACCCACTGACTCATTCACAAAACCTGGAGAAGTATCCCGCGAGTAGCGACGAAGCCGGAGAGCTTAAGCCAGATTCTAAGGCAACGTTTGAAGGGGGTATGCCCCCAAGTAATGGAAGCGAACAGGTTTTAATTAGCAGAGGGGCTAACCAGGAACCAGGTTTGGCTCATTCGGTATCGACAGCGAACAGCAGAGAGCAGGTAGCCCTGATTGGAGCCTTTCGCGGAGGAGTTGTTTTAGGACCAGATTCTGATTGTTCTAGTGGCCGAGTTTTGGAGGAGGGAGGAATCAGCGACGGTCAGTCGTGTGACAGTGTAGCAGGTGTACACTCCACTGATACTGTAAGTGAGCCTCGGAATACGGAGAGAGAGTCGCGAAAAGATTCACATGATCTAAAAAAGAGAGAAATTGGAAATGGCGTCACAAGAGAGGCTGCTTGAAACGGAGTTGCATGAGGATATGGAAGTTGAGTCGCATAACGAAGGAAAGGAAATGGAAGTTAAGTCACATGACCAATGTAAGGAAATGGAAGTGGAGTCACGTGACAAGGAAACGGAACTGGAAGTGGAGTCACGTGACAACGAAACGGAAATGGAAGTGGAGTCACATGACAAAGAAACGGAAATGGGAATTGATTCGAAAAAGGAACCGGAGTTGTGTGATGCGAAACAAGAAGAGGGAGTGGAGTCACACGGGAGAGAAGTAGAAGGGAAAGCTTCTCAATCACAGGAGTGCCAAATAAAATCACAAGAAGGGAAAGTGGAGACTTTTGAATCTTGTGACAATGTCACTGGTTTGTTTATGGAAGCTCCAGGCAACAACGATATCCAGTCAAGCAACAAAGACGTTGAGTCAAGTTTGAGACTTCCAGGGGAACAGGAAGGAGACGAGAAGGAAGTCTGTAAACTAGTACAAGGCGAAGAAGAAGTCCTGTCGAGCTTGAATGACAAGAGAGTCAAGCCAAGTTTAGAAGTAACAGGGAACAAACAAGCTGTTGAGTCAAATGACAGAGAGGTTGGGTGGCATGGTAAGGAGAGTGGATCAAATGAAGTTACCCCTCATGACCAAGTGGAGGGTATGAATGAATCAGAATCTATAAGCAAAGAAGCTCCAGTGTTTCCACACACGGCCTTATGGTCACAACCAGAATCAGGTGACAAGTCACATGATCCCCAGCCTGTGGATTACTTGTGTGGTGATAAGGAAGTAAATTCACTACTATCGCATAACAAGAAAATCGAGCAGGACAAGACAGTTCAATCGCATGGTAAGGATGAATGTCACGATAAGGATCTAGTTGAGTCTTGTGACAAAGGACATGATAACAAATGTGATGAATTACACGAAAATAAACAGGACAAGACAGCAGAATTTAATGATAAGACGCATGGTAATGAACAAGCTCAATCACAGGAACTGGACACGCAAAATGAACAGGAACCGGACAAAGATATTGAATCACGTCCAGAAGGGTACAAGCAAGTTACACTTGGTATGGAAGGAGAAATGCAATATCCAAATCAGTTAGCACCGCACGAGCAAATGGAATCACACGACAATGAGATGCTGTCAAATGAAGGGCCGCAAAATATTCCACAGACTGAATCAGGTAACAAGGAGATGGAAAATAATAATAGGTCAGTAGAAAGTTCACATGGTATGGAAGACAATTCACATGACCAACAGATGGTACCATTTTTTGAGTCACATGACCTGTCAGTTGTGACTAAGCAGGTATCACATGATACTGATAGGCAAATGCAGGATCTGTCAGGTGGTGGATCAACTCATGAAGCACAACAAGAACCTTCCTTTGACGCAGAATTCCCAAACAGTTCAGAATCTAATGATGGAGACATTTGCTTACCAGAGTCACATGACCCCCTTCCAGGGTCACATGATCCAGTGATAACAGAGTCACTAGATCCAATGGCGATTGATCCACATCCAGAATCACATGACCACCTTCCAGGGTCACATGATCCAGTGATGACAGAGTCACTAGATCCAATGGCAATTGGTCCACCTCCAGAATCACATGACCCAGTGCCAACATGGTCACATCCAGAATCACATGACCCAGTGCTGACAGGGTCACATGACTCACCTCCAGAGGCACATGACCGAATTATTACATCACCAGAGGGGTTACCTGGAGGTGTCAGCATCACATCAGCTGACAGAGGAACTGAGTCACATGGTGATCATGTGGCTAGTGTAGACCCACCTCATGAAGTCAGTGAGACATCAATGGAGACTGCTGAAACAGCGGGTGAAGTTCGTGAGGAGTTAGGGGATGGAGTCAAGGGTGATGGGGAGACTCCTGCTCGTTTGGCACCTAGCGTCGCCCAGGCACAAGCAAGTAGCCATGAACCTGGGTCTATGGTTGAGGATGCAAGGGAGAAAAAGAGTGCCACTCTCGGCCAAACTTCTTCCCTCCCCTTGACCGAGGCTCCACCTGATGGTGGAGTAACAACTGAAGAAGCTAAAGTTTTTTTCTGCGAGGCAATAAGTGAAGAGGCACAAGAACCACAGAGACCAGTAGGGTCATGTGATGAATCACCTGACCATGAAGAAAAGTCACATGACCAATCAGTTATGAGTGGGGAAAATCCTAATGAGCAGCCAACTTTGAAGGAAGCGAAGGCATGCGACTGGCCTTGCACGAATGAGGCAGAATTACATAACCAACCAACAATGGCTGATGCGAAGTCACATGACCAACCAACAATAACAGGTGTGGAATCAACTCTGGAGTCACATGACCAACCAATGCTGACTGTGGTGGAGTCACATGACCGACAAACTCTGGACATGGTAAGTGTGAATGATGCAAGGTCACATGACGAATCAGCTGTAAGCGAGTTGAGGTCACATGACCAGCTAGCGGAGAATGATGAAACGTCACATGACATGTTTCCCAAGAATGCACTTGGCCAATTATTAGTTATGAGTGAAGTAAAGTCACATGACAAGCCAACAGAGAACGATGCAATGTCACAAGACCCCACGAATGATGCAGGGTCACATGCAGTTTATGATCAGTCGGGGCAAGAAAAAGCAAATTTACCAGACCCACTGACAACAAAAGACTTGTGTGAGAAGTCACATGACATCAGAAATGAAGCCGAGCGCGAGTCTTGTGATACCAAACGAGAGTTACGTGAGAATGAGTCAAATCCTCAATTTGACAGCGAGGTTCAGAACAAGAACGAGGAGAGTTCCCGCGGAGCTGCCCACCCCAACCAGTCTAGTGACAAGAGAGACAGCACTTCAGTCGAAGCAATAATTGATACTAAAGACAGTGTTTTAGTGGACCAGTCTCAGGTGGCAGCATCATCCACTACTGAAGGCAGGCCTCGCGACATAGGAGACCAGCCAGTCCAGAATGAGCAAATGTCTCTTGATCCACCATCACAACATCTCAGTTTTTCAAAGTCACGTGATGGTGAAATGAAATCACTTGACTGCGAACCAAAATCGCCTGACAGTAAACAGAAGTCGCGGAAGAGTAGACAAAGGTCGTCTGAATACGAAGTAAAGAGTGATGCAATATCACGTCATGATAGCGGTAGTGAGACAAAGGCTGCACCGGAATTGCATCTCGGCGACGATGAAAAGTGTATAAACAGTAGTAAAGTGACCAGTGAAACACAGCTGTATGCACCGATTGATGACAAAGACGAGGCTGAAAGAGGCAAGGAGGAGAAACTGTGTGCCGTAAAGTCCACTGCAGGTGACTCCACGTCATGTGAAGAGAATGAGGGGATCTCCTGCGAGGCCGAGGCAAGACAGGATGTGGGCGTGGCAGACAAGCCTCGGGAATCTGCCGAGAACGTGGAGTTTGTTGCCGCTAGCAACCGAGTCGTCTCCTTGGCTACCAAACTGCTGGAAAAGTGGGAGGGGCTGAAGGAAGTGTTCCGTATTCCAAAGAGAACCCAATCAGTAAGATGATCTGTACGAACAATGTTAGTATAGTACATGCGTCTTCTACACTTCAATCTCTTTTGTGATAAAGTATGCATGACTTAGGCTAAACCATTATAATGGAACCTCTAAATAATGGACACATTTGGACTGCAGGCTTTTGTCCTTTCAAGGGAGGTCCTCCTCTCTTCGTAGGTGAATCTCTTGTGAGGTTGAAAAAATACTAGACTAATAGCGTGAGTCCATTGTCCTTTATCGGAGGTTCTACTGCATGCTGTTGCTCATTGAGAAGAACTTTATGTAGTGGCTCTGCTGGCTAGTTTCCTTGTGCTCCCAATAGGCTAAGAGGAAGTCTCCAGGAGTGGACTCTCCACAGCTCTCAGCTGCTTCTGACGGAGACACAAAGGAGCAGGAGGAGGGGAGGGAGGGGAGAGAGGGGAGGGAGGGGGGAGGGTGGGAGAGTGGGGAGAAGAGAGCCAGGTCGTCCCGGAGCTCACGGAGAACTGGGGAGAGGGAGAGGGGTGAGAGGGGGAGAGGGGTGAGAGGAGTGAGAGGAAAAGAAGATGGAACAGGTCACCTCCCTACAACTCTCCGGTCTCCAGGACACATACAGACACTCCGCCCACTTGGTGAGTGTCACTGCATTATGTCTGCATCTTAGCTCTATTACACAGTTTGTGTTGAATAAAGGTCTCTTGAATAGATACTAAACGTCATTCCTGTTAGAAACTGGGGTTAAAATCCACACTGTGATCAATGTTGTATTTGCTACTAGATACAGTACGTACAATTATTCCATTGCTACAATACATTTGGAGCATAAGTTTGTTGTTTATTGCGATTGTACAGGTGTAGCCTCAAAGCAGTAACTGTACTTTGGAAAGGCTGTATATAGAAGGCAGCTAAACCTCTGCTAGCTCGCAGGAGTTTAACTGAAGTCGCAGACTCTGTTGTACAGTACATTCATAATATCATTGAGTGTATATGGTACCTGTACACACTGTAGGCCTGCAAAGCGGAGAGTTCTGCTGCCAAAACCGAGCACTCTTTATCCTCCCACCTCCATCACCATCTCCACACCGTCCCAACCCCACCTCCTCCAACCCTCCCAAGGCACGCTCCTCACAGGGGCACCCTCTGCCATACCCACCACCATCACCCCCACACCTCCTCCCCCGTCTCCCTACGTCATCACACAGAACACCAGCAGCGCCGGTTATACGGGTTCGACTCGTTTCCCCGCACCTATCCCGGTTCAGAACACTGTCATTGTGCAGCAGGGAGGACAGAGTGTGTACGTTCAACAACAGGTGGGCTCCATTTAGCATTCTACTACATGTGTCCATACTCAGCATTGTGTCCAGTGAGGCGGCGAAATGCTGTCAGATCGTCCCCCATGAACTGATACCATAGAGCAATTTTTAACGTGTGACCATATGTAGTATTTGTTAAACCTAGCCTAATAATCCTTTAGGGACTTATATTTCATTCCATGAACAATCTAGTCTCGTGCCCAGACCCCGCCCTCACAAGAGAGGAAAAGGGTCTAGTGACTATTGAGCGTTTTCTTGGTTGTGCTGACTCGACGGTCTTACTTTTGAGACACCGAATCAGATTGCAGTATTTGCCACAAGCGTGAAATATCACATGATGTTATGTAATAAATCGTAACGCAGCTCCGTGGATTCCGCGTGTCCACGAACGAAAACGGGCTTTTCTGTGCATGCACTCGACAATGATGAGTCAGCACAACCAAGAAAACACTCAATAGTCACCAGACCCTTTTCCTCTCTAGTGGGCGGGGTCTGGGCACGAGACTAGTCTACATGAACATGTTCCAAATAGGTACGAACACAAGAAAAGAGGTGTGGATATGTATGAGTACTAACTCTCCTTCCTGTCAAACAACTGCAGGTGTACCAGGACGGCTGTCAGACCACCATCATGCCCACCCACTACCTCCCTTCCCCTGCACAGCCATTCATGATCCCTCCCTCCTCTCTACATGTAAATACATTAGCTAGTAAACGTATTGCCCAAGTTAGGGGCTGTCAGTTTCTAATAGACACAAAATGTATTTGAATATTAGCAAGCAGTATGGCAATTAGGAGCTGTACATAGATCAATCGCTAACCTTAGTGCACCAGTTCTCCATCTGTCTATATATTGCAACGCCCACACAGTGTACCTCAATTATTGAGGAAGGGGTGCCACTAAGTTCTAAGTCTGAATTTTTCCACATGGCCTCGAGTGTGTGCCTCAACTCTACTCATTAGGGCACCTCTGTGCATGCACATTACTCTGCTGTTTTTGAGTCAGAGCTGGCAGTTTTATGCAAATCCTGTGCCTTTGAAGTAAAGAGACTCTACTGTGCTCTAATTTTTCGTTCTTCAATGTACAATTCATGAACCCCCCTCCACACACACACACACCAAATGGAAGGCTCAACTTTTGCAGCCTCCAACACTTCATCCTCCGTCATTTCAGCCAGCCCACCCTCAACCACAAGCCCCACCCACCCTCACACAGATCCCGGTCCAGCAACCGCTATCCTCATACCCTCACATCCCCACACTCCCCACTCTCCCCATCCTACCTCCACAGATGCCACCCACTGGCTTTGTACGGCCTGTATTCACACAGGTATTGCTGTACACTGTAATACAGGGGTTTCAGGGTGGGCATAAATTAGATTCAACAAGGGTTTGGAGGTGAGGTGGAGGGGATATTTTCACCCTGAAATACCTTACTTTAGTTGATTCAATTGTGAACTCCCTTCTTTCTGTTGATGTTGTAGCACATAGCAGTGGCCCCGCCTACCTCTCAGAGCACTCTGACCCCTGCCACCTCCCTCCCTCTCCCTCCTCCTCCTCCCTCTGACTCTGGACTGCCACAAAACTGGAAGACTGCCAAAGACCCTCAGGTGTGATTCAACCCATCTCTCTCCTGTCTATCTCTTTGTCTCTTCTCTCCCTCTTTAACTCTACTACCACCTCTTCTCTTCTCCTACATATGTACTTTCAAACCTGCTGGTTACATGCTTGCTCCATCTATGTATCAGAGCTGAGTCTCGTACCCCTGTTTTCTCCCATTATACTCCTCTCCCATGTATGTATGAACAAAACTCCCTATCATAGCCCCATACATCTATGATGCTACATCGGTACCATGCCCATCCCTATATACTAAGTACTACCGTACTTAGTGATATCACACTAGCTGGTTAACTTCTTGCGTACAAGATAAGAGTATGTATGTAGTTGGAAAATGTCTTTGCCAAAGTTTCAGTCTCATGCTTTCTTCAAGACCATGGCTATATATAGATGACAGAGAAGTTCACATACACATAGTAACTTCTTGCTTCTACAGTCATACAGTAGGTCTTACTATGGCATGTTCAGTATAAGTTGTTGTGTTCAGTATAAGGTTCAGTAGTGTATATATTATGTACAAGAAAATATATTTCAAAATACTAAATGATGAAGTATTGTGATAATGATAGTCTTCGTGCATGCTCCGCATCTTTTTTCTCTTGGCATCACATGTTTTTTTTTCTACATGCAGGGTACGACGTACTACTACCACGTGATCACCAGGAAGACCCAGTGGACGCGACCTACCGAGACAGATGCTGACGGCAGTGTCACCATGGAACTGGCATCCTCCGACGAGGTAAAAGTAAGAACCACTATAGCGGCAGAAGAATAGGACGCGGAGGAGGAGGAGGAGGGAGGAGGAGGAGGGCGGGGATGGGGAGGAGGATGAGGGTATATTAGAAGAGGAGGGGGATGTTCCTCTCAGATAATGCAAATTACTGAAGAACTAATGAAGTAACAGGTTGTAGTTGCATTGGTGTTAGAAACCAATAAGTGGGAAATTTAGACATGAAAGGACCCATGTTCTTAGAGTACCACTTGGGTACATGTACATAGCAGTCCAAATTAAACATGAATGTCCCATCAGAGAAGATGCTAGCCATCATCTGGATCTCTCCCCCCTCTCACTCTCTCTCTCTCTCTCTATCTCTCTCTCTCCAGGAGGACTCCTCACAGGCTGAGAGTCTGAGGGCACCTTGCACTCCAGACGGAACTCCACCTCCACTCGCAACCACAACTGAGAGGGTCAGCTCTCTAATTAACCCCCACCTACACGTAATATTATGCTCTCAGAAAACCCCGATAACTACATATGATAAGGAAACGAAAAAGGTAACCTGCTTGGAGAACGTGAACTCAACTTTATAGATGCACACAACACTAAGCTACAACTCCCATCATTGGCGAGCGGAAGCGAGCTAACCTAGTGGTCCGAACGGCGCGATTTTTCTATATATATATATATATATATATATATGTCACCGTACGTCGTCCAACTGCGCATGCTCCAGCATTACGCGCTTCTTTTTATCCGAAAGGGATTTCAACATTTTCATAATGCTGCCTGAATCGAGCGGAATCAGGGGAAACGCAACACCTCCGAAGCTATCGAGTATTGCTGCACAGTCCAGCGAGAGATTTTTCTACATTGCCACTTGTTCCCTATTCCTGCAAGACCAATCAGATTGCCGGATTATGCCTGATTCGCGCTGTCGTCTGACTCGACTCGAATTGTCTACTGCGCTCGGGTCGTTTCGGCCTACTTGGTCCTGTGCAATGTATCTCACTGTTTTGTGCACACACAAGAGTGACTCATACGATTAGACCCCAATTGTAAGCGCGCTTCCGCTCGCCAAAAATGCCATGCATTCGCCTACTAGTAAATATGAAATATGAGACATTTTGGTTTTTTGTGTGTTTAGAACTATGACACCGAGTCAACTGATGTCACACCTTCCCCGTACTACTCTCCCCTCCCCCGTCCTCACACTCCCTCCTCTCCACACCTTCCCCACTCTCTCTCACACTCCAGTCACAGGTGAATGAACACTTGATGTATTCCTACCAGGATTTAAAAAACGGGCATGATTTCTAGGTTCAATCCTCGTGTATATACCAGAAATTACATACATTGCTAGCATGCGAAATTTAGTAACAGTAGTCACGAACAGCAATACAAGCAAGGCATCAAGCTTGCTGTGATGAGGGACAATGTGGAACAAATGTTCCTACCCATGAGTACGTAGTTCACCTGGTGACCTCCCACCCCATGGAGGTAGAGTTTATCTGTAGTGGGACAAAGGGCTCATTGCTTTAATCAGAAGGCTGTTTACAGTTCTCTCTGCTCAACCATTGCTCTCCGGGTAGCTGCTTGTGAGGTGTTCAAATTGTAGTTATCTGTAAGTCTGCAAAGTACATAGTTTGAGTAGAACTATGGGCTCCTGACTCTCTCCGGGATTCGCAAATGCTGCTTTGAGCGCATCGATGACAGCTTGAAGGTGGTACTCGGTTGGATGACCTCTGGATTGTAGTCTGCCACTACCAGAATGTTGTTTCCATAGAGAACGAAAAGATCTGTGGCTACTTGTTACTAGGAGTAGTCTCTTTCTGTGGTGTAGCTGTGCGGTGCGGTGCATTCTGGGGAAGCCTGTCAGCTGCTTGTGGCCATATCTAGGCACATCCAAGTGTGCGTGTGTGTTGGTTGGTATTTCACGCTTCTTTGAACGGTGCGACAGCCACTCTCCATGTGTGTATTTTTGTTGCCTTGCATGCACAAGTGTGTTATTATATTCATTTTCCCCTGTGTCAAAGCGATTCGTAGCTATAGTTGGCTCAATCTAGCATGATAGATGCTTATCAGTAATGTTTTTTGTTTTTCCTGCAGGTCACCCCTTCCCTCTCCCCGCACCCCTCCCTTCACCCTCCCTCCTCCCTCCACACCTCCCTTCCCCTCAACCAACTACCACCACCACCAACAACAACAACAGCAGCAACACTCTCCATCTCCTTTACCTTCCCCCAAACCACTCTCTTCACCTCTCCCTGGGCCCTCGACCCCTCCCCTCTCTCCTCCCCTCTCTCCCCCTCACTCTCCCACCACTACCACCACCTCCCTCACATCACCACTCACACACTCTCCCCCTCCCCTCCCTCGACCTCCTCGACCTCACGCCCACCACCAGAGAAGAAGATAAAACTCACCAAGTCTAGCAAGCAGAGAGAAAATTTTAAACATAAGGTAGAAATTGACATTTGTGATTGTTTGATAATTTCATTGTGTGTAGAACCTATTACTTGCTTGCTTTAAATTGTCATTGGGGCCGAATTAGTTACAATAGTACAACACACTAACATGGAGTTGGGTAGCTACGTCCTTGGTTCGATACTCACCACCACAATCCTTTCATTCGTAATATTCCCTTTTTTTTTACTGCATATTAGTGACGTATGGGCGTTTGGCCCCAAAGAGGTTACGCCTTCTCTTTACGAACACTGGGAGTGTTTATTGGCGAGTGAAGTGAGCCCACCCCACCTATGTATAGTAGTGTGAATTGCACGGCTTTCCAAGTGTGAAACAGTGTGCATATATGGACATGGCATACAGCTGCTCACAAGGTTACTTCGCTTGCCAAAAACCGAACCACGACATTAGGCCTCTTTGTAGATATAGTGAAGACCGTATCGCTCATGCTATAGTTTCCGTGGTAAAAGATGGTTGTTAACCTGTACCAGGTGTCAAAGGTAGTGACGCAGTGTCTGGACCAACACAGGAAGGCCGACTGCAAGTACGGTCGCATCACTTGCTCCGAGGACTTCAAATATCTTGCTAGGAAGGTCAGTGGCGACAAGTGTCTCTCTCTTTATATACTTCTTCCTGTTTCTCTTTTTGCCTATGCACGCTCCTATTGTCTCCTCATTCTACTGCGTTATCTCCTTTCACCTCCCATTTAACTCCTTGATTAACCGTTGGTGTGCATATGCAGCAAAGGTGTTGTGTGTGGCGTAGCCAAGCCCATATATGTATTTGCAGGGCTTTTAACATGTATAGTGTACATTGCCTGAGGCTCAGCTAAAATCACTACAGAGCGTTCCTTTTGTATCTAGAGTTTGCTCTTTAGTGACTAATCTCTCTAAACTCTCACTCCCTCCCACTTGCTCCTCTATAAAACCATGTACATGCATGTATCTCGTGTACTATGTGATCTTACGTATGCAGGTGTCTTATCTCATATTATATCTCCCACATACCAGCTAACTCATGGACTGGCAGAGAAGGAGCTGCAGCGTCGTCAGAGTAGTATGGAGAGCCTCGTTTTCAACGACGGCGTCAAGGCAAAAGTCAGAGAGTACATCAGACAGTACATGAAGAAATACGGTCCTCTTTACACACGTTCATAGAGCCTTTTTGAGTCCATCTTTATTAGCACTAAACATAACAGTAAATGGCTTATGTTGTTATCCTAGAATCATATTTTTCTTCATTTAAAGATTGCAACGAGTACGTAATATTGTCAAAGCAGGTCTATTAGAGAGTCGGTAGACGCTCTATGTAGGGATGACACAGGTCAAATCTCACGTGATCCGCGTACAACAGACCCAAAACTCGGCAGGGAAACACGTAACTAGCCTTCAAAACACACAAGTAATAACTCACGGGTCCTTATCTAGCTCTCCATGTTCCAAAGAAGCTCATACGCCATTTCAGGACGACCCGCGTGAGACCACGCAATTTCGTATTTCTAGTCATCATAATTTATTCTTCATCTTGTCTGAGTAGAGATAGGGTGGAAAGAAGTGTGTGTGTGTGTGTGTGTTGGGGGGTGTTTCCAAAGCTAAAAATCAGGGAAAGCCCTATCACGAAACACGATGACTTGTACAATGACCATTCATGTGGTAAAACAGGGCTTGTGAGTAGTGTTTGTATGTGCAGTTAACAACTATTATGTTTGTTACAAAGTTTTCAGCAACAAGTGTTTTAACAGTGCTCAAACACTAATCTAGTTGTCTCTGTCATACTGTACACTTTGTGACATTTGTACAGCACTGTATCCTTTGCATTTGTTCCACATTACTTTTGGCACAATTGGCAACTTCACAGTAAGAAATACTGCCACACAAACAAGGGGGAGGAGGAATAAAATTATCTGGATGATCGTGAGGCTGGTGACGCTGTGAACAACGCCGTCTTTGCTAGCTGCTGAAGAGACACTACATGTACACCACGATCCCATTCAGCAGTGCTAGGTTGAAAAACAAAAGATGGTCAACAATGTTTCGACACCTGCTCTTGTATGGTTGGAATGTCGCATGTAAAAGGATTATGCCCAACAGAATCAGTTCAACTCCAGCATAATACTGTACCAAATTCCCCACAGTGATCTCCAGGAGTGTGATGAGGACACGGTACAAGAAATAGAGCCCGGCAAAGAAACGGCAGTTGTCCCTGAAGGGGTTCTGTACAGAGTCAAGGAGTTGGATGGGCATCATTCTCCACAGTCTGCATGGCAAACGGAGACTCACTGAGACTACACAGTCCCAGCAGTCGGAAGAACAGAGGATAGAAGAGGAGCAGGACTGGTGGGAGGGCAACTATAAACAACAGAAATACTATCGCAATCATCGCATACTTGAGGTGTTCTCCACTGAAAGGCTCCATGTTGCCACTGTGTAGGATGACATACTTGAGGCAGTTGTGGTCCTTATCAAAGATACAGGTTGAAACAAGAACCTTGAAGCAGATGTTTACACACTGAGCGTAGCAGAGGATGAAGAAGGCAGATATACCATTCACGACAGAGTAGCGTCGCCTCAAAAGACAGGGAAAATATTTGACGATTCGACGATATTTCAGCACGCACACAGTAAGAAGCACAAGGCTGAGAGCAAAGCAGATGGAACCAAGCTTGACCATCATTATGTCCATGACATTAGCACCCTTCCATATGCAAAAGGCTGTTGTGTCAGTTTGGAAGAACTCGAGGTTAAATATGCCATAGATATACATGAGCCACACAAGGGTCTTGAATTGTGTGTGAGGAAAGCGAATAGTTCCATTTCCATATCAGTAAGAGCTGTGTACCACTTGGGTGAAGAGTAAAAACCATTCCAGTCACTGGCAAAGTTCGCATCCAGCAGTGTTATCACCAGAAACAGGCATGTTAGTGGGGTGATTGTCGAGAGGATGAAGTAAAATGAACCAAGAGAACAGTTGTCTTCGTTGCCACAATGGTAGTACCATGAGTTGTAGTACACAGAGTGATTGGCAATGAAGCTACCACAAATTGTGCCAGTCCTTGTGTGTGAGCAAACCGCCTCTTCCAATCTTCTACCTCCATGGGGAGTGGATGAACAGTGACCTTGTCTGTCAGTTGCATTGTAAGAGCAGAATACCAACGGGGCAATCAGCTGTGCACAAAGTTGGATGGTCACATTCTCCCATCCACACTCCATAGAGGATGTATGCTTCTGGATCACATTTCAGCAGTCCATAGTAGGTTGATGCACTGCATATGCATCTGTTCTTCATCAGTACATAACCAGGAGGACACGTCTTCCAGATACAATCTCTACTAGGATGGATGTATCTGTTGATAAAGCATCCAAGCGCAGGGTACTATTCTCTCCAGGTTGCCCCAAGACACTGATAGTGTTGGCAGAAACATACTCATATGCAGGGTCAACCCCATAGTCACATTATTACCAGCCATGCTGGCTTGGTAAGATACATTGGGTACTTTGTTTCCCTCTGAGTCATTTGCAACTAGTGGGAGTTGGGAGGGTAGCTATTCCAGGGAAGAGTAAGACATGTTCTTTCAAGAGACCAAATTTTGTTGGGAGGGTGGCAGTAGTATTGACTCGAGGGTTGTTGAAAGTAAACACTCCAATGCAATCAAATAGGTTCTCTGTCTGATTACAATCGATTGTGCATGCACCAAAGGACGATAAAAATATGTGGTCACCTCTACCACTAAAAGCACGGTTACCACTGAAAAAGAAATAGGATTTTTCACTGTTGGTCAGGTGATAAAGGAAGCATGGCTGGTAAACAGTGGAGTCTAAGTTTATTGAATAATACATGGCACCACCAAGATTTCCTGCACTATTGTTGACTAAAGAAAAGTTACTAGACCCATCCAAGTAGAGATATGACCGTCCCATTAGGGCTATGGCTCCACCATTGCTTCCACTGTTGTTATGAAACAGAACCTGTGACTCAGCATGAAATGTTGCAATACTGCTACTGAGATAGAGGGCCGTTCCATTGTTGCCATCAAAGGTTGTTTTTCCACCAAAAGTCACAGACAAGACATTGCAGAAGAAAGCACCCCCTCCATTAATCTGCAAACGTAGGTTCTCTCCCGCAAAATGTTGCCGGCAGCAGTAGGTTAGATGAGAAACTACAGTTGGTAAAGACAATAGTAGGATAGCGGCCTCTAGCCCCAGATACCAACACACCAGCCATTATGTGGACTGCTGCCCCATATCGCGACGCAGTGTTCCCAGTCCACGAACAGTTGATGAAGTGGACAGCTCTCTTGTCATCACCAGTGGACAGGTCATTAGAGTAGATATTGACACCTCCTCCGGAATATGCCTTGTTGTTCTCAAACTTGCAGGACACGAATTTCACTCTACTAATATGAGCATTTGCAGGAGTTGTTCCAATGGAACAGAGAGAGTAGATAATCTGTAGCCCACCTCCTACTTTATAACTTCCAACTGTGTTGTTCCCGTATCTTGCATCTACTACTGATATGGTGTTGTTGTAAGACGAATTGGACAGTGATATTAGAAGTCCTGCTCCACAAGAATCAATGTGATTGTCTTCAAAAGTCGAGTTTGAGATGCTATGCTAATGCCCGTAACGTTGACTCCCAACACTATCCATGCCCCTCCTCCACTGTTGACAGAGTTGCATGGTAAAGTCAGATTTTCTCTCAGTTCGCCATAGTTTCTAGCACACGAGAGGTTGTGGATTGTGTAGGAAGTAGAAACAACATTATTAGTCTGAACATAATGTTTATAGCTACGAACTGTCTTTGGACAGGGATTAAACTGTATGCTCAAACCACTGCCACCATACACCAGTGCAGAGCTGCTAGCTTTCAGATAGCTCTCTAGGACAGTAGTATTATCAATGAGGACATTTCCGTATGTGTTTACAATCAATATGCCAGTCACCATTTGATTGTTGGACAAGGGTGTTGGTGATATTTACATCACGGCAGTTGAGCAGGGCCAAGGCTGATACTTCAGTTGACATGTCAGATACAGAGTAGTCCCTCTCTGCTCCACAACCAAACAACTGTATGTAGTTCAGAGAGAGCCCTGTCACATTGATAAAAGTCAGTCCAGAACCAGAGGTGTTGCACTGAATGAAAGTCCAGTTGGAATTTTCCGCTCCTACTATAGCCAAGTTAGTGATATTTGTAAAATTGAGTGCTTTTGTCAAGTTAATTCCTGGATGGCAGATTTCTATCTCCACAGAGCCACTTGTAACTGACTTGAGATGTTTCTGGACATATTCCAGGGTCTGGCAAGATGGGCCACTGCGCTGTAAGCAGCTGGAATTGTCATGACCATTGGAGGCATCAATTGAGATGACATGCTTTAGCAAAGACAAGGTCACAACAACCAATAACAGTGAGTAGCAGTCCAATGAGGGCGAAAGAGTTTCTCATATTCACTCTCAACTTTCTCTTAAACAATCTGAAGCATGCAAGACTGTCGTTTCAGAGCTGTTTTTAAAAAATAGCTTTCCCCAAAAACAAGAACAACAACAGCTTCTTTTTCTAAACTGAGAATTTTCTCTGTTTTAGGATTATGCACTGAAATGAGGGAGATGCAAAAGAATGGCAGCATTTAAGAGCTCTATCTCAACTTACATATGACTACTACTGCAGAACAGGAAGGTATATTTAAAACCAGGGACGAAGTCTGCTTCTTTTGTCTCCCCCTTCCCTGTACGTATACTTCTATCGTTTTCCTCTGTTTAGTCACCTTCAAACTGAAAGTAAGCCAATCTTAAATGTTTCCCAATGAGCACTTTTCAAGTCCCATCAGTGTCCACTAAAACTGAAGACTACACTTTTGGAAATATAATATTATACAAAGGGATGATCGCTCCTCTCAACCAACAGATGCCAGTGAAGAGCACTGAGGTGGTAACAAAACAACACAGTAGTCCAACCACGGGGACATACGGCGAGTAACAAAAAAAGTCAGTCAATGTCTGCTTTCTCTGCACTCTATATAGCAGTGCATGTAATGTTGGCAACTAACACCAGTTGCCACACCTGGCACTACTGCAACATTCCACAGGACAGTGTGACTGTGGATTTGACCTAGGAGCTAGGATGCAGTAATGATGGCAACCCAGCGAGGGGGGACCAATTGGAAATGGTGTTATGGCAACACCTTCAAGGCTGTTATTCGATGTTATCTCTAGGATTTTTTCCATAACATCTTCATTTTCAAAACATGTTGTTATAACCGCGATACTAAGAATTTCCCATGTGTTTCCACCAGTACATTTTCTAACTGTCATGTGGTTGTTTAGTTGCAGTATGTTTTGAGCAGAGAATGATGAAAATGAAAACATTCCGAACTGCAAGTCACAACATTCATTTTTGGGTCACAATACTGACTATGCTATGAAACAATTTCAAGAGAGAGTCAGACAACTAAGCAGGGAAATGGCAATCTCATTGGCCTTTAATCTACTGCTTCTCTCTGTGATTGGTTGTGACCTTGTCTTCTGCTACAAGAATGTCATCTCAATTGATGCCTCAAATGGCCATGATGATTCCAGCTGCTTACAGCCAAGTGGACCATCTTGCCAGACCCTGGAATATGTCCAGAAACATCTCAAGTCAGTTACAAGTGGCTCTGTGGAGATAGAAATCTGCCATCCAGGAATTAACTTGACAAAAGCACTCAATTTTACAAATATCACAAACCTGGCTATAGTAGGAGAAGAAAATTCCAACTGGACTTTCATTCAGTGCAACTCCTCTGGTTCTGGACTGACTTTTATCAATGTGACAGGGCTCTCTCTGAACTACATACAGTTGTTTGGTTGTGGAGTCGAGAGGGACTACTCTGTATCTGACATGTCAACTGAAGTATCAGCCTTGGCCCTGCTCAACTGCCGTGATGTAAATATCACCAACACCCTTGTCCAACGGTCAAATGGTACTGGCATATTGATGAAGAACACATACGGAAATGTCCTCATTGATAATACTGCTGTTCTAGAGAGCTATCTGAAAGCTAGCAGCTCTGCACTGGTGCATGGTGGCAGTGGTTTGAGCATACAGTTCAATCCTTGTCCAAAGACAGTTCGTAGCTATAAACATTATGTTCAGACTAATAATGTCGTTTCTACTTCCTACACAATTCACAACCTCTTGTGTGCTAGAAACTATGGCGAACCGAGAGAAAACCTGACTTTACCATGCAACTCTGTCGACAGTGGAGGAGGGGCATGGATAGTGTTGGGAGTCAACGTTACTGACATTAGCATAGGCATCTCAAATTCGACTTTTGAAGACAATCACATTGATTCTTGTGGAGCAGGACTTCTAATATCACTGTCCAATTCGTCTTACGACAACACCATATCAGTAGTAGATGCCAAGATACGGAACAACACAGTTGGAAGTTATAAAGTAGGAGGTGGGCTACAGATTATCTACTCTCTCTGTTTCATTGGATCAACTCCTGCAAATGCTCACAGTAGTAGAGTAAAATTCGTGTCCTGCAAGTTTGAGAACAACAAGGCATATTCCGGAGGAGGTGTCAATATCTATTCTAATGACCTGTCCACTGGTGATGACAAGAGAGCTGTCCACTTCATCAACTGTTCATGGACTGGGAACACTGCGTCGCGATATGGGGCAGCAGTCCACATAATGGCTGGTGTGTTGGTACTATCTGCGGCTAGAGGCCGCTATCCTACTATTGTCTTTACCAACTGTAGTTTCTCATCTAACCTACTGTTGCCGGCAACATTTGCGGGAGAGAACCTACGTTTGCAGATTAATGGAGGGGGTGCTTTCTTCTGCAATGTCTTGTCTGTGGCTTTTGGCGGGAAAACAACCTTTGATGGCAACAATGGAACGGCCCTCTATCTCAGTAGCAGTATTGCATCATTTCACGCTGGGTCACAGGTTCTGTTTCATAACAACAGTGGAAGCAATGGTGGAGCCGTATCCCTAATGGGACGGTCATATCTCTACTTGGATGGGTCTAGTAACTTTTCTTTAGTCAACAATAGTGCAGGAAATCTTGGTGGGGCCATATATTCAATAAACTTAGATTCCACTGTTTACCAGCCATGTTTCCTTTATCACCTGACCAACAGTGAAAAATCCTATTTCTTTTTCAGTGGTAACCGTGCTTTTAGTGGTAGAGGTGACCACATATTTTTATCGTCCTTTGGTGCATGCACAATCGATTGTAATCAGACAGAGAACGTATTTGATTGCATTGGAGTGTTTACTTTCAACAACCCTCGAGTCAATACTACTGCCACCCTCCCAACAAAATTTGGTCTATTGAAAGAACCTGTCTTACTGTTCCCTGGAATAGCCTCCAAACTCCCACTTGTTGCAAATGACTCAGAGGGAAACAAAGTACCCAATGTATCCTACCAAGCCAGCATGGCTGGTAATAATGTGACTATGTGGGTTGACCCTGCATATGAGTATGTATCTGCCAACACCATCAGTGTCTTGGGGGAACCTGGAGAGAATAGTACCCTGCGTTTGGATGCTCTATCGACTGAAACATCCCTCCTAGTAGAGATTGTTCTAGAAGAGTGTCCTCCTGGTTATGTACTGAGTGATAGTAAGTGCATCTGCAGTGCATCAACCTACTATGGACTGCTGAAATGTGATCCAGAAGCATACATCCGCTATGGAGTGTGGATGGGAGAATGTGACCATCCAACTCTGTGTACAGCTGATTGTTCTGTTGGATTCTGTTCTTACAATACAACTGACAATACAAGACCACTATATTATCCACTCCCCATGGAGGTGGATAAGCTGGAAGAGGCGGTTTGCTCACACACAAGGACTGGCACCATATGTGGTAGCTGCATTGCCAATCACTCTGTGTACTACAACTCATGGTACTATTACTGTGGCAACGAAGACAACTGTTCTCTTGGTCCACTTTACTTTATCCTCTCGACAATCGCCCCACTAACATGCCTGTTTCTGGTGATAACACTGCTGGATGCGAACTTTGCCAGTGACTGGAATGGGTTCCTACTCTTTACCCAAGTTGTACATAACTCTTATGTCTATGGACGAGGAACTATTCGTTTGCCACATACCCAATTTCAGATTCTTGGATGGCTCATGTTCATATATGGCATCTTCAACTTGGAGTTCTTTCAAACTAATGAAACAGCCTTTTGCATATGGAAGGGTGCTAATGTCATGGACATAATGATGGTCAAGCTTGGTTCCATCTGCTTTGCTCTCAGCCTTGTGCTTCTTACTGTGTGCGTGCTGAAACATCGTCGAATAGTCAAATATTTTCCCTGTCTTTTGAGGCGACGCTACTCTGTCGTGAATGGTATATCTGCCTTCTTCATCCTCTGCTACGCTCAGTGTGTAAACATCTGCTTCAAGGTTCTTGTTTCAACCTGTATCTTTGATAAGGACCACAACTGCCTCAAGTATGTCATCCTACACAGTGGCAACATGGAGCCTTTCAGTGGAGAACACCTCAAGTATGCGATGATTGCGATAGTATTTCTGTTGTTTATAGTTGCCCTCCCACCAGTCCTGCTCCTCTTCTATCCTCTGTTCTTCCGACTGCTGGGACTGTGTAGTCTCAGTGAGTCTCCGTTTGCCATCAGACTGTGGAGAGTGATGCCCATCCAACTCCTTGACTCTGTACAGAACCCCTTCAGGGACAACTGCCGTTTCTTTGCCGGGCTCTATTTCTTGTACCGTGTCCTCATCCCACTGCTAGATGTCACTGTGAGAAACCTGGTGGAGTATTATGCTGGAGTGGAACTGATTCTTTTAGTTATAATCGTTCTGCACGCAGCTTTCCAGCCGTACAAGAGCCGAGTGCGCAACATTGTTGATCTTCTCCTATTTTTCAACTTAGCGCTGCTCAATGGAGTTGTGGAGTTCATGTACGTCAGTTTTTCAACTCGCAAGGACGGCATTGAAAAGAATCTAACTCTTTTGACAATACTTCAAATTCTCCAATTTTTGCTCCCCCTTGTGTGTGCTGCAGTGTTTCTTCTTGCCAAGCTACATATTCGAATGAAGAGTATGTGGCATAAGAAAGGGTACAGAATCTTGCAACTCATGTCACACACCTCATAGGGATAGACTAGTCTGAAACTGAAACTTTGTACTGGGCATGCAGTGTTAGTGTTTTCATTCAGTGTGTCATCATTTAGGATGTTAAATATTGTAATAGTTGTGGTTCAGATACACATTAGTGGTGAAAATCAACTCAATCTCTCTTTGCCTATTGCACGGGATCTGTATACACGCTCCGTTGTACGTGAATACTTGCAGCTCTCAGGTATGTGCGTTTATGTTAGTAGAGAAAAAAATTTAAGCAGTCGTAAAAATGAAAACACTAACTCATTTTGACAGAGTTACACAATAATCATCTGCACATTAGTACATGCAGGTCGGTTGTTAGTGCTGTTGTTATTAGGTGGAGATATTGTTCCATACGTATCACTAACATACCGTGTTCCTTTCTGCTAGTCCAAACGGACTATCAAGCTTTGCAAAACCCTTTTCCCTCTGACTTGATAAATTCTCCTTCAGAGGAAAATATTGAAATATATATATACGTGATTGTTCCCAAATTCACTCTATAACATACACCGTAGCACCTGAGTCAACAGCGATGCTCACGGGCAAAGTCAGTTCTCCCTCCCCGTTCCCCTTTTTCCAAACTGCCGCAAGTACACTCCATCGACTGTGAAGACCTCGATTCTGTGGTTGTCCCGGCTACATACACCTTCTTCGCTGTCGGTTGAAGTGTCATGAGGGTTTACAAACTCTCCATTGTTTCAGGCTTTCCTACCAAAACTACAAGAGTATGTATGGTACCGACTGCTCTGAGGAATTTTCCAGTGACTGATAACTGCTGAATATGGTTATTCCAGTATCAGCCACGAGACCTTTGTCTATTGCCAACCCCCCATTAGGACTATGGAACTGATCAGGACCCGGGCCAAGACTACCAAATGATCCCTTCTCTCCGCTACAACTCATGATTGATATACAGTCACGGTCGCATTCTGCTACTACCACCTCTCCTTCTTTCCCTACTGCTATTCCCCAAGGCTCTTGGAGATGTCCAATGATCTTGGTCGGAAGGGTTAAGTTTGGTAAGTTGGGTCTGTTTTGTAATAATTTCAGGAGGTATACAACAAAGCTTGCGTTTTGTTAGTAGCTGGTTTCATGAGGCGAATCCATACTTTGTGCAGTGTGACTGTTGCACTACATGCTGCTTGACCAGGCTGAGTTTTTTTCTGTGCCCTAGCTTGTATATACTTAGTCTCATATCTAAAGGCACCCCAAATGTTTGCAACAAAAATGTCCAAAACCTATCTTTGGAGCTTATACATGCCTACCTTACATCAGCTATTCTCATGCCTGAAAGAATGCAACAAGTGGAAAAAATGAAGGTGGAATGTAATTGTTTCAGCTCATTATATGAAGAAAAGATGCCTACACCGAGACAGAAAGTCATTACATCCTTGTTTCCGTTCATGTAGACATTACCGAGGATTATGCCTGCTCTATAGAAGGTACCACTTTTTAGCAAAAACACATCTTTATATAATGAGGTGGTACAACCCATTCATATCTGAAGAATGACTTTTCCACTGTTCATTAGCATATGTACAAAGAGCAAAACCACACTGAAAATCGACAACAAAACACAACTATTGTGTGTCCATGAACCTGTTGTGTGTTCATAAAACTCATGACACCAGTTCTGCGCTCATAACACCATGGGTGTTTACGAAATGACTCCATCAGTTTTCTCTAGCTAAAATGTTCACTTTAGGGACTCCAGTAAACAGGAATTCTCTGCTCTCAAATAAAACTATCATGTAGCACTGTAAGAAGTATTTTAACCAGGGACATACGAAGTCAGTCAATGTCTTGGGGAACTTGGTACTGCTGCTTTCTAGCAGTGCATGTAGTGTTGGCAACTAACACCAGTTTCCACACCTTGCACTACTATAATGAAAAAAGCACTGAAGTGCAAACCCTCGGCGAACTGCGCTTGCGCGATACCGCTAATTGATGGGCTGGGCCGTAGTATGCGTTTACTCGTGGTCTTAATTACAGTAAATTCATCTATGAGTATATACAATCAAATTCAACACATGTGAGAGTATTGTTTGGCTTGTCAGTGACAACCACTGAGTTCTGGAGTCTCCAATTTTTCCAGGCAATCTTACCACCATTGTGTATCAGTGAGAAACTAACTGCCATTCATGTTCAAATGCTGAATTTTATACCAACCATCTACCCACTTGTTCTTGTCATCATCTCCTGTATTCTCATGGAGCTGCATGCTAGAAACTGTAGAATTGTTGGAATTCTGTGGAAGCCATTTAAGATTAACATCACAGAGGTGATTGGTGACGCTGTGATTCACGCTTTTGCATCACTTATCTTCCTCTCAAATAGTTCTGTGCTGCAACATGTCAAGTGATGGGAGCCATAAATGTTTACAACTCATCCAAAATTTACCAAAGAAAGGTCATATTCACTGATCCAACAGTTCAGTGGCTCAGCCACAAGTACACCCTATATACACTAATTGCATTGGTTCCATTCATATCAGTGTCAGTCATTCCCTCTGTCCTTCTTTGCATATATCCAACAAGGGTGTACCGATATCTGTCAAGGTTTCTGAGTGCCAGGAAGCGACTGGCCATCACAGCATTTGCTGAGGCTCTCCACAGCTGTTTCAAAGATGGTCTGAATGGAACTCGTGACTACAGAGCACTGGCTGCAATATTACTCCTCCTGTTGAACTTATTGGTTAGAACATGTCTTGGACATATTGGTAATGAAAGTGCCATTTATACTTCTTTAGACTTGGTATGGATGATACTGGTATGTGTAGTTTCATACATAAAACCATGAAAATCATCAGTTGCGAATATCTCCTTTGTTTTTAACATGACATTGTTTGGAATCTTCATGTGTGCAGCTAACTTTTGCTGTTGGAACTCAAACACTTGAAATGATATTTATTTCAGCCCTTCTTACATCAACTTAAAATGAAAGCAAGGTGCTTGACCAAAACACAGCAGCTTTGGGCTCAGTTATACCTGTAATTACGTATCTAACTGGTGAGGATCGCTTTTGAGCGCTCGCAAAAATCATGCCATAACTCTAGAACAAAGCCTTCTTGAATTTCTGGCAAATTTAAATGCATAAAGAATCATTTACTGGTACTTGAGTCTCACTTCATCCAGTATGCGAGGATCAGCTTCACAGAACAACACCAATGGTGTGAATTTCCTGAACACCTGCAGATCTTTTCTTGTAGACAGCCATCTCACCAGCAATGCTCTGGAAAAACGTATGTTTCTTGGCCAATTCCGTGATCATGTGGTCCAGCAGGTCGTATGCAAGGTAGTTCCAGTAGAAATTTAGATGTCCGAACGATTCCATGTGGTCTTGACACTGACGAAGAGCCTTGTGATTCTTCTTCATAAACAATCTGTGCTCTACTGTTCGAATGATGGTAAGAATGTACACCACCGTCAAAACTGCAACACCGCACTGTGCCAGGCCTTGGAGTGTTAACTTCTTCATGGAGTTGAACCTCTGGCGGAATCCTACAATGTCTGCTGCTACTACTCCAACTAACCCATCGATTTCGATTTCCGTCACCTCAATGATGTCTGAGATAATTCACATGGATAATTTAGGAAATGCACATGAAAGCTCTCACCAGTGGCAGGGCTCAGTTGAGACGATGGGACCTCAGCAGTAGTGGTGCTGGCTCTGTGGGCTGGCTATACCTTGGCCAAACACACACTGACAAGGTTTGGATATCAGTTCCATGGCCCTGGTTGCAAGGTGACGTGGCAAATGGTGTGAAGCGGTATTATCTGTGTATCTCCAGAAGGTACAGGGGCTACTAGGAGCTCCTGGCACAATGAGACAGCAAGAGGTTGTTTTATGACATAAGTGTCAAACTATTGCAAAGCTCTCTTAATTGCTCACTTTTTAGTGCTAACTCCTCACTTAGGAAGAAATACTTGGTGCGCATTGGAACAAATCGTGCACTACAACACGTGACTAGAGTGTCATACACTAGCCTCTCTTGTAGGTAGAATCAGGGACTTGACTTAATATCAATAACAAAGACAAATGAGCTGTAGCGGTAGCCAGACAACTGGTATTAGTGGAAAATGCAATGTTCACCATGAGAGTGTGGAGACATATATAGAGTGGGGGTAACAAAACAAGTCAGTCAATGTCTTGTGGAAATATCTGCTGCTGCTTGTCAGTACTTTGTCGTAAACACAAGTTAACCTTGAACCCTGTTAGCTTGTGTACAATAACATGGTCTACAGAAAATGAACAGAAATGTCCCTGATGGACAACTGTATTCTTAAGCTAACAGGTACTCCTAACTACGAGAGTGTGCAATAAAACAAGTCTGTCAATGTATTTTGGAAGTTTGTATCGTTGTTTTTCTTCATTCTTGCACTTAACAGTAGTTGCCTAACCTATGTATACAGCCCAGTTATCAGAGCGTAAATAGATGCTCTATGTTGGGACGAGATCCCACGTGATCTGCAAACAAAAAACCTCAAATCTAGGAAAGAACGACTTGCTAAGCCTTCCAAACACAGCAGCAGTAACCCACGGGCCCATATATCTACAATATCATCTCTTGTTCGTTCCCAGCTTCTTTACTGTTCTTCTGTATGGCACCCATACCTTTTAGTCGATATAAAATATCTCGAGTATGTCCAGAGAAGGGCAACCAAATTCATCGTCAGCATCCCTCTCTTGGACTACAGGAATCGACTAATATACCTTAATCTGTTGCCCCTGATGATGGAGTTTGAAATTGTTGACATTATGTTTCTGGTCAAGTCTGTAAAGTTTCCATCCGGCCATTTCAATATACACGAGTTTGTCCAGTTCTGTAGTCATTCTACTAGAGCTGGCCATAGTTACAAGCTGAAACACCCCCTCGGTAGAAGTAACTATGAAAGGAACTTTTATTTCAATCGGATTCCTCGTCTATGGAACTCCTTACCTTTCTTCGATATAACTCTTTCTCCTTCTGCAATAAAATCCAAGTTACGAGCATATTTCTGGGATCATTTCATGTCCAACTTCGATTCAAACAATATGTGTTCATATCACTATCTGTGTCCATGCCCCAAGTGTTCTCAATTACCAGTCAAAATGCATTTTAATGTTAGTTTGTAATGTTTTGCGTTTGTTGTTGTTTTATCTGGCTGCTGGCTTATGCCTTCAGTCCATCAGCACAGTCTATGCATGTACTTCACCTTTTTTGTTCTTCAATTCTCGTTTTCCACCGCCTGTGTTGTAAAGCATAATAATAATAATAATAATAATAATAAAATCTAGTGCTACATTCACCGAAGACATTTTACGTGACATCAGATCTCCTTGCGAGAATTTGCTCAAACATGGGTTCACATTTTCCCTGTCATCTTCACCTTCTTCTTCTAAACTCCCTATAGATCCCCTTACTGCAATAAACTTTTCACTAAACAGTATCTGCGTTCGATGGAGTTATGCATAAAGTGATTGTTTCTTGTCGCACGTTAGTTGTAGAGTAAACACTAAATGACGGCATTTGCTGCTAACTCAGCAGCCAGCCAGATTGTTGTTCAAACAAACTTGCATGGTCAAGGGCCAAGCGGAAATTCAGCCACTCTCATGGTTCCTCGCCGGTACTCCATTTCCATTTCATAAAGAGTTCAGGCGGTACAACTAAGCTTAGGATGTAGTTGGTTTGGAATCTACAGTCAGTGCAGTGGGACTCCTTTTTTTTTCTGCGCCCTAGCTTGTACAGCTAACCATTGTAGTTCGATAGTTAAAGCCTTCCCATGCAACCACAGATGCGCACAACAAAGATATCAAAACCTATCATATTTCGTCTTTGAGCTTACACATGTCTTGGAATAAAGGCTGCAATAGCTTACATTAGCTATTCTCATTTCCATTGGGGCTTGCCTGAAAGAATGGAACAATCATTTAAAAGGGGATGTAAGGATGCCGCTTCATGAAAAAGAAAAGATGCCTACACTGAGACAGAAAGTCATTCATAACCCCATCATTACATTTTTGTTTCTGTTCATGTTGACATTACAGTGGATTTTACCATCCATATTGTAATTCCCTGCTCATTAGAAAAGTGTGTCACGTATATCATGTGTTCACAAAAGAGACTAGGTGGCATCCCTACACCCCCTTCCTTTCAGAAAAATGACTTTTCCATTAGCATA